TGAAAAAGTCTCTAGCAAGGATACTCTTGTGACTTTGACCCTGTGCTCTGTACCAGCCTTGTATCGTAAGCTTAAGCAGTGCACAAATAGGGGTCCGCTAAGCTCCGAAACATTTCAAAACATCTCGGAATTTAGTATACAAGATATAAGAAAAAAATGCAAAGTTTGTGGTCAGTTTTGCGCACGACCGTGACCTTGAATTTGAATGTTATGCACATCATCGGAATCCGAATCCTCAGACTCTCTTCTTTCGTTTACCATCCACGTGACCATCCATTTTTGCCGGTTTTATACACCATGCCGTCCTCTGAAACACGTACTTTGAGACCACTACAAAAGTGCCGGTTTTTGCCTTTGACCTTAACTTCTGACCTTGAAAATTGACCTGAGGTAAAAAAAAGTTTAGGTGCTTTAGAATCTTCTCGTAGATACCTTTCGCTTGGTACCATTTTTGTTTCCGTAGCTGCCTTATCAACGTTGTTAGACAGGTGGGGGAGGGCTACCCCCGGGCTGCGGTGGTTGGGATTACCCCCGGGCCCGGCCGGGTTAGGGTCGCGAACAAATAAAACTATAAAACTAGATTGCGAGACACAAACCTGTGAAAACGTTATGTTGTTCGTTGAGATGTAAAATGGTGTATTCCTCACAACAATAGTCAACTTTGTCCTCTCTTTCCCGTAGTACGTAATATATGTGCGATTCTCTCACACACGATTGATACCTACCTGCAGAATAAGCTCCATTAGGGCGACCCACATACATTTCCAGATAACCCGAACATACATTTACATACCTATCACATTTTGTCATACCTCCCTGAGCTCAGTCTTAGTCTCAAGGGTTCCCAAAAGAGGGTGATCTCTTCTCTGGCCGACTTTTGACAAACTGCCTCTCAACCTCCTCGAGGTCAAGCTCGAGGGGCGAGGGCAGCCTTCTGGTGAATGAAAATGAGTAGGAGAATGAGTGGGAGTATGAGATATGCGACAGACGATCCGAGAACGAACGTTCTGCTGATGCACTTGATACGGGGACCGTCAAAAACAGCGTACTATTATAACCGCCTATCATGAATGTTGCACCGGTCTTCTGTTCTCTTGTCAACATCAGCCAAATTTTGTGGGGGCAAAAACATAGTCTTGCCCCCACGGCCTCCTACCAGTGGGGGCAGTCTGCCCCCACTGCCCCCACGGTGGCGCCGCCCTTGTAGTAAACGGTCCCCGTTTCAGACCTATGCTGCATTTGTAAACTATTTGTACGACATAATATATTTTTACAGTGTTGAGTGTTTGAGTGTTGCCCATAAGTCGGCAGTTACTAAATAAATGGGTCCACTGACAGACCAAACGAAATCCTAAATCGTTGGGTCAAACGCTAGAAAGTTACAATTTTTATCATTTTCGTGGGCTTATACCTAAAGGTATCTAAAAAATTCGGTCATGACCCGTGCAGACCCGTGACCCCGCTGCACCCGTCCATCCCATGGATGGGTACCAATCTGCGAGTGATTTTGGTCGTCTTGTCGTTGTCATTCGACTTTCTTTTCTAATCCTTTGACAACTTGATGCTAAGCCATGATCGCATTATTTCGAAATCAAGGACTGCTTTCTGGGCAGGCTGGGTTCATTGGAATCAGTTGACCACAGACAGATCGCATGAAATAGCCCCTGGCACTGAGCCGCTGAAATTAAAACGTAGCGTAGCGCCATCAGAGAAGATTTGTAGCAAAGATCACCAATCTTATACCAGTATAGCGCCTTTTGGGGCGACTAACGGAGCGAGCGAGGGGGTGAGTCTTGCACGTGCGAAATTTCGAGGGGGTACCTCCAACTGACTTGTGCACGGCACCCTACTGACCGGTTTCTAGCGATGTGCCAAATTTGAGCACAATCGGCCCAGCCGTTCTCGAGATCTGGGAGCGGCACCCTGCACGTGCGCACGTGCAAAATGGGTCCCAACTGACTTGCGCACGGCACCCTACTAACTGGTCCCTAACCGTGTACCAAATTTGACCGCCATCGGTCCAGCCGTTCTCGAGATCTGGAAACGACCCCTGCACGTGCGCACGTGCAGCAGCACCCCAACTATGGCACATGGATATGCAGTGCCTAGTGGGTGCCTACCTACATGCCAACTTTCAGCGAAATCGGCCAAGTAGTTACCGAGATATTGCAACAATTACAAAAGTGACACCTCTTCGTTTTGCACGTGGCACGTGCATAAGGGGTCACCCACATGCATCGGGAATAGTCCAATACTTGGTAGAAGGAATGAAACTACCCTACAAAAATTACCGCATGTAAATCGGTCAAGTGGTTGCTGAGATATAAGCCTCGCAAAAGCGTCCGCACGGCCGGCCGGCCGCTCATACTCAGAAATTTCCGTTAATCTAAGGAAAGACTACGCTCGCTTCGCTCGCTCCGTAATCAGCCACTTCTGGAAAGGGTTCAGACAGAGCGCTCAGGCCCTTTTTTGCATTCAAACGGTGGTACCAAGATGATATGTAATTCTTCCTCCACAGGTTCTAAAGGCAGGTTGTGTACCGTTTAGTGTATATTGCATAAAAACAAAGTGCATGGTCAGAGTCGCGTTACCGAAATTTGCTCGTCGAGACTAACCCAAGAGTGCCAAATTATCTTTGGTTGTATTTACGACCTAAAAGGTTAGATACCTTATTAATTAATTAATAACAGCCACGAAACCTATCAAATCTACTGACAAAAACGATTCGGGTGCGTATAGTGTGTAATGAGGTATTACGACGAATGTTAATAAGTTATTATGAAAATAATACATTGTTCATGAGTCTGGAACGGTGACACATCAAAGGAAAGGTGAAACAAAATGGATTAAAATATGGCTCAATAAGTTGGGACAAATTTTTAATTATGAAACCATTTACAAACATTGGAGGGCCAAAATATCGCTGAACACGGTAGCAGTACATCGAGATGGTCAGCATGTCATGACAGGTCATGACGTAATACAGGCGAGAACACCTTTAAGCGCACCATATACGGCCGCTCAGCAATTTAACAGCGTTGCCTCGCGAGCGCTTGTCTCATGCTTTGTGTGCACTGACTTCACGTACTGTCTTCCAATGGGAACAAATCGCGTGCGCGAAAGTAGCCGTTACAAACGTCTGCATAGAAATATAAAATTTGCAACATAATTGCCATAAAAATCAATTTAGTGCAATCGTCAATCCATATGGTGGATCCTTCTATGCCATGACCAAATCTCTGCACTGCAGAGAGCTCGCAGGTTCTCAGACTCACAGACAGGGTCGCTATCCTATCACAGCTGCAACGGGCGTCCTCACCACAAGAAATATCCGGTACACCGGAGGTCTCGACACTACCAGCACATTCACAATAGGTTATCACAGGCCAGACTGTGACGGCGCCCCTTATCGTAGTGTCAGCGCACCCACCAGTCCCACATACACATTTCCTTTGGACTTAAGCAGCAGATTCTCCAGTAGGTTAGCAGTTCAGCCCTTTCGTCCCTAGTTCGTCACATTGCTGACCACGGGTCACGTTCGACTGCTCCTTTCCGAGCCTGGTAGACAGGCCAACGTCGGCCGAAGGTGTACAGGGTGTCCGGAAATTGATTGCACACTGTCCATATTCACGTAGCTTGCACGTGCTCCCGCCAAACCGGTTAGGGAGGTTCGCGACCCCGCCCCCGGGCACCCCAGCGTGTCAGGTGATCACGTGACCCAGCAGGTGACCTGACCCCAGCGGCAGTGAGTGGCCACAGGTCGCTTTCCGAGAGGTAGTCTTCGCGCGCGGACCCCATATCGAGAATGGTGAGGGAACATACTTTGGCGACGCGCTACCGCGCGGTTGGAATGGTTGAAGCCGGGATGACGGTAGGTGATGTTGCCCGACAAGTGGATGTATCTCGCCGGACCCTTCATTACTGACTGGTTCTCGACCGCAGCGGTGCAGCACTGGAGAATCGCAAGGGCCGTGGGAGAAAAACTGTGCTGAGCAGAGTGGCCAAAATCGTGCTCGCTTAGGCCGTGCTGAAAAGACGCCAATCGACGCGGAAACTGGCCATAAAGCTGACTGAAAAGGGTCAAGCGGTGTCGAAGACCACTATTCACAACTACATGGTCAAGTGCCTGGGTCTCAAACCGCTCAATCTGCGCCGGCAGCCAAAACTGGCCGAAGCCCAGAAGCGGAAGCGTCTGGTATTTGCCCGGGAGCAGAAGAACTGGACTATTCAGGACTGGCGGCGCGTCTTGTTCAGCAATGAGCTATGTATGGCCTTGGCAATGAGTGTGTTCGAGCTCATGCACCCGCTGAATCGCCAGAACGAGCGCGTCTGGGCGCACAACAGTGCTGAAGTGCCTGCCATCGACATGGTGAAGCAGCCGCTGAAACTCATGGTCTGAGCCATGATGAGTCATTAGGGCCTGTCGGAGATCCACTTCGTCCCCTGCGGTCAGACCGTGACGGCCCAGTACTACGTGAAGGAGTTCTGAAGAAGTCTGCAGCGTCCGCAATAAGCAGAAGAGGCAGACGGGGGCGCCAACACAGGTCGAGCTGCTCCCGAAGATGTCCGAGGCGATCTTCCAGCAAGATGGTGCTTCAGCTCATCACGACGCCAGCACTCAACGGTGGTGCTGGGACAACCTCCCAGGGTTTTGGGACAAGGGTGTATGGCTGGGCAACAGCACTGACCCGTCTCCCATCGAGAACTTGCGGCTATCGTACAGAGCGAGCTCGACATGATGGAGCCGGCTACCACCGAGCAGGCGCATATCAGGAACCTCCAGAGAGCGTGGCTCAGCATTAGTGCAGAGACACTGTATAACCTGATGTGTGGCATGCCCGACCGTATGAGGGAGTGTGTGCGATTGGGTAGAGCGTATATCGGTAAATAAACCATGACCCATGCATGTTTTCTTTCCTTGTAAAGTGGACTAGAAGAGTGCGCAATCAATTTTCGGACACCCTGTACTACCAGCGGCCTCATACCCCCCCCCCCCCCCACACACACACACATCGAGACCCCTTCAGTTAGCGGGTCCCGGCTGCGGAGGCAGCGTCGCCTCCCCCACCGCCTCCCCGGCGGCTCGGTTGGCGTCCAGCCGAGGCATGGCTCCCTCCAGGATCTCCGTATAGTGGGCACCGAACACCGCTCGGTTGTGTGAGACGATACGCAGCAGCTGCCCGCCGACACGAGCCAGCTCAGCAGAGGTGGACGAGAGACCGGGAGGCACCTTCATCGGGGTGGCCGTGGTGGAGCCGATGATGGTCGACAGGAACTCGCGAACACGCCGTCCTGCCGGGGTGAGAAGGTGACACGCCGTCAGACACTTCAGTCTTAACCAGAGCTTTGCATTTTGCACTAATCTCGGTCAAGTGAAAAGCAAAATATTGGGATTGCCGATCAGTATTTCTTAGGGATGGTTGCAGTAATAACATCACGTCACTAAAATCACGTCGAAAAACGATACGAATTGACAACTTCAAAGGTAACGATTGTACGGAGGGGTGCCACCGGACGCCAATTTGTCGCAAATACCGGCAGCTGTCAGTGTTCGGAGGGTTCGGCCGGCCTCATCTGGTACAAACCGGTACAGGTCAGCGCGGTGCGCGGTGGTGGACAGTGGACACATTTGGAAGGTAGGGAGCGCGGGCAGAGGTTCGGTGACCGGTGGCGGGGAGCGGCGGGGTGCAGGGGCGCGCAGCTGGGGTACCGCGGAGCAGCCCAGGGGCAGGGATGCAGCACTGAGGAGGCAGGGGAGCGGCACGGGGGTCGGCGGATTTAGCGGGGAGCGGAGATGATGGAAGACTCGGCTAACGACGTGACACTGGGGCTTTCCAGACTGTCCCCCTTCACCCCCCCCCCCCTCCAGTTGGACAGCTGACCGAGCCATGTGTCGGTGAGGCACCGGAAGAGTGAGCCATCACTAGCCGACAGTAGCGAGCCGATAATCACGTGAAAACGCAAACCACTCGCACGCCACACACAGGCCACAGAGATGTCGGCGGAAACCAGCGATGACTAAGGGAGTCGGGGCCAGTGCTGGAAATGAGGCCGCTTTCTGGTCCCGGCGTTTTATTCTCCGGGCGGGTTAATCCCGTCCAGCGTTTAGCCTTTCGGGACCCACTCAGTCTCGTGGCTGTTTTCGCCGCTCGCCGCAGTCGAGATGCAAAGTTAATAGTCACACGAAGCTTATTTAGGGCCAGCCAAACCAGCCTAGTGTGGAGTTACTGTTAAATGTATGCATATAGCTGAAAGAAGAAGGTTTTGTAGAATCGATTTATTTCGAAGTCGTATATTCAGAGGTCCCAAATAAACTTCGTGTGACAATCAACTTTGTATCTCGAATGGGCCGAGCGGCAAAAATAACCGCGACTCTGAGAGGGTCCCGAAAGGCTAAGCGCTAGACGGGGCTAACCCACCCGGAGAATAAAACGCCGGGACCAGAAAGCGGCCTCATTTCCAGCACTGGTCGGGGCATTGGTGAATAAGGGACATGTTATGGAATCAGTTAGATGGTATCCCACCTGAAACTGCTCTGCTAGCCAATTAAGTTTATTGATACCCTTATTCAGTGCTCATTCGGTTCTACACATGTGTTGTGACAATGGTCCTATTACGGAGTGAGTATGATGTGCATGTTCTGATCTAAATCCTAACCACAGCTGGCGCCCACAACCTACTAACCTTTTGTCCACATTATGATGTCTAATGTTAGAATGTCTAATTGTCATCGATGAGGTTCCCAGTATCCAGCCTACGCCAAGGGGCGACAATTTCCTCAGCTGAATACAGACCACTTGCAGCCGCTACCGAACTCCTTAGACTCAGCCGATTGTTAAGTCTATGACCTGAATAACGCAGCCGATTAGCATAGCTACAAGGAAAGAATCGATCATCGGCAGCATGCTAATTAAGTAACAGAGCGAAGCGGGAAATGCCAGCACGGGGTGCAGCAAGCATGCAATGCATGTGAAGACACGAATATCCCCCTTTGGCCGTTTGGCGGATCCACGAAGGCGGTATCGGAACTGTATTCGAAGCTCTTCGGTCGTTCTTCAACGTTAGATCATAGATGCTAAACAGAAGTGTCAAAACAGATGGATAATTTAGCTTCCCTGTGCGTTAGTTCTTCAATCTGTATTTGTATATGCTTAACAATGTTATGGCCAACGTGATCGAGCGCAAAATATCTTGTAAGGCGCCTCTTTATCTATCTAAGTCATGTCTAAGTTTCGAAAAGCTTGCGCCAAGGGAAAGTATACGTTTATTGTGACTAATCAGGTCTGAACACTACTCGCACAGTGCGAAAGTCGCTACCTAACGCAAGAACTTAGAAGAAGCGTAGCAATAATGATCAAAACACCATGAAATGACCGGAACGTATCGAAAAAGACTGATACAACTCGTCTCCTTCTTCGTTCGCCGGTCAGATCAGTATGTACTCCCCGAGCACTGACCTATGACTCACGAGCCCGACCTGCCGCCCATCCCACCCCACCCTGTCCTATCCTAACCACCACCAGATTGCGTGGTGACGGCATCCGGCAAAGTCATCACGGAACACTGAGTCAGTCCCGACCACCGCACCACCCCAAACGACCACCGACCGACCACAGCTCGGAACAGACGCCCCCAACACTCATCACTGCGGGATTCTGATCAGATCATCACAGAAACTGATATGTATGTCTCATCCATCGAAACACTCAACACTCTGGTTTGGTAAAGACGCCACTATTCGAAACGTAATTCAGACATGAGATCACGAGATCATGAGGTCAGCAGAGGGAATACTGTACGGGTATTCGAATTGTACGGGTGCTGTCTGAAATGTGGTGAGCTTCCGCAAGGTTTTGATCTTCGCCATCCTCTGAGGCAATCTTGTCAAGTTATGGGGCTCATGTGCTCCTTTTCATTTCTCATGGATTTTTTTACCGACAGATCAGAATCCACAAGAAGTTTTCCTGGCAACTAACTCACGTGATGTTTGATTAACTAGCTTTGAAAACGAACGTGTTAGAAATAAACCAAGGGCCGAAATGCACTCATGCACTCATTATACAAAGGCACTGAAGTGAGAAATATCTTAAAGGTAATCCACACCTTTCCTGGGCGCAAAATGACCTCGCAGTTGGCGCGCCCCTAACCCCCCAACAAACAAACAATCCACACCTTTCCCGGCCATAGCGATTCTACTTACAATGAACGCATATTTTTCTTGTCACCGCATGAATCGGGATGCCCGAAGCCGTATACTGTCCACCGCCACAAAGCAGACCGCCCACAGAGGGCAAAAATAAAATATAAATACCGTCACACACCAACATCTACTGCCATTATAAATAACCCGTGACAAAGAAGTTAATCTCCCGGACTTGCAGACTTGTGAAACATGACTGAATATTTCAACATTGCTACTGAATCACAAGTGATTCGAGAAACTTCAATTTTTTAAACCCAGTATGTCGTGGAATTCCACGTCGCTACTTCTATTTATCTTTATACACCAAATATACCTCATAAAAAGTCAACGAAAGCGGCCGGAAACCAGGGCTTTGCGCCGCGTGCCGATACTACAGACTACTGCCATTAAATGGTTCATTTTCAATGGGAATGACTCGAGACCCACCAAATGGAATAGATGCTGTGCCTACATGAACGACTTTCTGTAATATCAAACAGACCTCCGCTTCTCGTAGTGGTTTGAACGTGAATCTCCACATACGGTGGCAGCTGGATGCTAAGGCTGGAGGTCAGGAAGACAGAGGATCTCAGCTAAACAGCCCTGTCATGTGGTGATATCTATGGATCGTACATTTATGTGTGTGATGACGGACCACACAGTTCCTGCCTAGCGTCCTCCCAGCGTTGATGTCACTAGAATATGATGGCCAGTTACGAAGGCAGACAGCCCGTACCACTGTCCCTGCTATTGCCCACTAATCAGAGCCCCAGTCTGTGGCTATTCTACCCGTTGTTATTCACTGATCAGACCCAGTAGTTCGTGGCTATTCTACCCGATAATACGCATTGATCAGGACCGTGGCTATTTTTCCAGACATTACGCACTGATCAGAGCCCGCCGCAGTCCGCCGATATTCTTTAAGTTATCGCTCACTGATGAGCGCCCGTAGTCCCTCACTATTCTCCCCGTTTATAACTCGATGAAGAGCGCCCGCAGCCCGTGGCTATTCGCTCCGATGCTACACTGAACAGACCCAGCAGTCCGCCATGGCTAGGTACCTATTCTCCCCGTTTATAACTCACTGATCAGTGCCCGCAGTCCGTGACCGGGGTCCCGCAGCTGCTCGATCATGTCGGCCATCTGTTTAAGCTGTTCATCCGTCGCCGCTGGAAGGCCCTGCGTCTGCAGACCGGCCCGCACCTCTGGCACACACTGCGCGGCCACGTTTGGCAGCAGTTCAGCCAGCTTCCTGCAGAGAGACACCGGGAGGGATACGGTCTTCAGTGATCCCGTAAGCATGGTACGTCAGAGAAATTAGAACATTTCATTTCAAAACTACGAGTCATTCATCAAGTCAAAACACGGCATCAAACTTCCAAAAAGGCAGTTAAATGCTTAAAACCCACTTGAGAGACCCTTTTACTACCCGAAAACCCCTTTCAAAGACACGTCTCCGTCGATCAGCGCAGGACGACTCACTCGGGAGAGTCGGCGTCGGCGAGGATGGCCATCAGTTTGTCTTTGAGCGTCTTGCGGAACTCTGTGACCGCCTGTAGGGGCTGTCCGCAGGAGCTGTAGGTGAGCAGCAGGGCGGCAGCGGCCGTCATCATCTGCTGCGCCTCCAGCCGCAGCTCGGTCAGACGGCGCCAGTCCATCGCCAGAGTCTGAGGAGTGGGGGACAGGGGGTCAGACTGAGCCTAGAGATGGACCTCGTCAGACTGAGCTTCCAGACGCAGCTCGGTCAGACGGCGCCAGTCCATCGCCAGAGTCTGAGGGGGAGAGGGGGTCAGACTGAGCCTCCAGACGCAGCTCGGTTAGGCGGCGCCAGTCCATTGCGAGAGTCTGAGGGGTGGAGAAGGTCCATTGCTAGAGTCTGAGGGAAGGGGACAGACTAGGTCAGATTAACAGGCCATCATCCGGGTCTTGGTCGTCTTGATCCGGGGGACGTCAGAGGCGTCTGGTCAATAGGTGCAGTTGGCCGTTTGAATCGGAGAAAATGCTGACCAGACCGGACCGCCAGCCTCTACGAAGGCAGTAGACATGTCACACTGACAGACCAACTTTCGCACCTCTCGAGTCCGGGGACGTAAAGACGACGGTCATGCCTTGTGCCTGTCAATGACTGGATTGCCTGTCATACCAGCACGATGCGTCTGTTTTCTGGGAAAACGGACGACATTAGCCTTAACCAGACGATCATCGGCCTTCGCAGGCGATCATCAGTCTAAGAAAACGAGCATCTGTTTTACACTTAACACTGAACAGACGTTCATCGGTCTTAAAGACGATAAGCTGTCCACGAGCATCGGTCTTCAACAGACTATCATCGGTCTGAAGATCCGGGACAACTGAGTGACACTACAATAACTAGCCTTGGCCAACTGACGCCATCAATATTACATAACCCGTCTTTCTCACATCTCACCGAGGACGTAAGGTCACCTTCAGAAGACGCCTTTCTCGGTATCGGCAGAGAAACTGCCCATAAACAACATCTGTCTCCGCCTACACCCCACATCCGCCCCTGTTAGACCAGCGAAGGGCAGCGGCTGCAGTAGCGTCAGAGCGGTGAGGTCAACAAGTCAACACTGCAGCTGCTAATTTCACAACATACAGCTGGGATAGCCACGCCTAAATAAGCCTTTCGATCACGCCAGATGCTTTCGCGACGTCACTAGAATTTCCGGAGGGACGGCAGCTGCATTATAAACAAAAACACTTTTCTTGAATATGAGTGATGCATACAAATTTGGTAAATATTTAGTCAAAAAAGTTCGAGGCGCTGGAAAGGCACACTGCAATGGCATTAAATGTCACGCCAAGAGGCAACCAAGAATGTAAAAGCACTAGAGGCCACGATACAGTTAGAATGAAGATTGACAACCAATATTACACCTAAGATGTGAGCAAACCATCGCCTCTGTTAACTCCGTGAGTGGAGAGTGCTCTCACCTCCGACACCTTCACAACTCTGTGGGCGGGGAGTGTTCTCACCTCCGTCACATTGGCTCTGTGAGATAATTCTCAGTTCTCACCTCTGGCACTTCTGTGCTGTCGTCCCAGTCGAGAAACTCGAGGTAGGCGGCGTTGACCGTGTCCCGTATACGCGTGGCCGGGTCGCCGTCATATACCACGTTCCGCTCCAGCCACTGGCGGGTCACCAGCAGTCCGTCTGAGGGGAGGGGGGGGGGGCAAGGGTCAGTTTGGAGGGGTCATAGAGGGAACAGAGTCACGAGGAATCAGCATGGGAGAGGTCACACAGAAAGTCGGCTAAATATCAATAATAAAAAACATTGTGAGTTTAAAGCACCGTTTCAGGCTCTTCCGATCGACACAAAAAATAACATGGAATTATCACAATACGGACAGGCTAACATACATCTTGACATATCTTCAGATGGACAAGTTAATTTTGGAAACGGACATATGATATTCACCTCAAACAACCGTCCTCAGTCCAACTACCAAGGGGAGCGTTGACCTCTGGAAGGTCACACCACCTCCCCTCCCGCCCGGCCCGTAACACCGGGTGACATCGGAGACGGGTGACGCATCATCTCGGCAGCATCTACTGCGTACCGCCTATGATGAACACGGATATGCGGCGCCACCGACCAGCTGTGGCCGGGAAACCCGACCGGAGTCCGACCAGACTCGCCACCAGTCATCCCGAGGGGATGGCCGCGACCGGACAGGAAAACGGGAGAGGTGATCGGCCGGTTCCGTCCGCGACCCACGCCCGGTGGCGCGGCAGACCGCAGGTGAATCACAGAGCCCGCGCTCGTACCAATCGGTGATCACGGATGGTGTAATGGGGTGGGGTTGGAGCGCCAGTTCCGTAATTCTTACACGACAAACTTTTGTGATTCACGACGACGTTTTTAGGTTTTATATCCGACATCTGTTTCTGAGGAAATGGGTGTCATTCCATACCGATTTAGTTACAACACCACAAAACAATGGTGAATGTTCAGCCCACAATCTGCATAATCAGGACATAGCCATCAAACCACCACCAGCCAACCGTGAGTCACCTTCTTGCATAACCTATATCATAGCCACAGCGTAAACATTGGTCTATTGACTAAACAATCCCGATTTAAAATATCCTCAGGTGGGCAGTTATCACAAAAAATGCCTATGAATTCGACGACACCGTATGATAATCCATTTTACAGAACGATTTGGAAGTAAATTTGCAATTCAAATACTAGGAAAGAAAGGAATACAGTTTGACTTCAAAAGGAGGTAAACTAAACGTCTGTCTGAAGGCGCAGTATCACTCTCTCGAATCTAAATGTTCGAATTGTAGTACGTATCCAGTATCCCGTTCTGGCTTTCATTCATCACGAAGATCATCACGACATCGTGTTTTTTATTTACTTTCTTTTTACGTTGTGTTCTATGATTTTCACGCTTCAGCTACTTTCCATCTGACATTTGATTGGATAAGCCATGGCACGGAGCTAATGCGAAATAAATAAATGGATAAAGGAATTATACCAAGGATTTCTGCAAAGTACTTTTCTGAATTTTTGATCGTACCGTCCGGTGTCTCCTGCCAATCTAGGTACAGCCCTCAGCAGACTGCGTGGTAGGTATTCTTTTTTCGACAAAACCGATAATAACTCAGAGGCTATGCTATCAGTCGGTCAGAACTCACTGCAAATGATGCGCCATGCTTCACTCATTCGATTAGGTAACGGGTGGTCAGTATGAAACTGGACAAAATTTGATGAAGCATAGCATCTCCAATTATAGACCGATTTTACTTATTTTGGGCAGGTGAATACTTCCAGTTATTCTATATTACCAGCTCAGATTTCAACTTTCTCCTATTTTCTAGAAGAAAACATTGCGCCGGTAAGTCAGCAAGCGTTCCGGGACCTGTTCGCGCAAGTTTGTGAAAATAACACAAATTACAAAAATGCTACCATTATGCGTCACATTACGCCACAGGGTGTAACCAGATCTTAAGAATATGTGATCATCGATAAATTCTGAGGACTTGCAGATGTTTTGCATGGTGGAAACGGCAAGATCACCAAGAAAATGCTCATTCAGCACCGGAAGAAACAAACCGGCGCCGTCACCGAACAGTTGGGGCTCTCCTTGTGATCTCTGGGAAGAAATTTTGGAATCTTCAAAACATATGACCAATTAATGTGTCAACAAGCAGGAATCAGGTACACAAATAGGATAAAGGTGACGGAGGCACAATTTCGTACGCAGAAAACCCGCCTGCGTTGTCTGTCACAGGGTCCAATGCAGGGTAGCAAAAACATGGAGGTGCATATGGACGAAGAATCTTACTTCACCTGCAGTGGCAGCCAAATGCCTTCCATTGCCGAATTTTACACCTCAGCTGGTGGAGACACTATTCCACATGTGGATCGCACCTTCGCTTTCGACCTGAGAGCAAGCATCCACCCGAGATGCCCGTCTAGCTTGCCATGAGTCCAAGGGGCTCACGCGTCCCGTAACTTGCCGAGCGCAGGCAATGTAAAGGGCGAACTGTGTTATGAAAAGTGTTTGAATGGCGTGTTGTTACCACTTATTGAGTCACAGAACACAGAGCATGATGTTCTGTCAGGTTCCGATCTTGCAACAGTCACAGTACGCGCGCTAGAACGCGAAACTTCTTGAGAAGGCTGGGGTGCCCGAAATAGCACGTGACATGAACCCACCATGGACCCCTCAGATTTAGCCCAATGAGGATCTGTGGGGGCTCATCGAACAGAAAGTGTATAAGGGAAGGTGACAGGTCAGCTGAGACGCACAATTGAAGCAGAGAATCCAGCAGGCCATCCGTCAAATTGACCCGGAGGTGCCGCGAAAGACAAAAGCGGGGCTGCCAGCGCGCGTGCGCCTGGAGGCTGACAGAGGTCCAGTTTCGCAGATCCATTAGGCCGAGCGTGATTAGAACAAAATAATGGCACGGTAACGCGATTTCCGTTGCTTTCGCTTGAAAACTTTCGACACAGTAACAATTCAAACTTTGTCCAGTTTCATACTGACCACCCGTTATATCACTAAACAAAGTATACACCTTGTGTGGCAACAAAATGCAAAAGTTTGTTTTGGGGGCAAATATATACCTTTGGATTTTGTTGTCGAACTAGAAGGAAAATGAATACGGTGATGATGCCAATCTAAGGTGCGGAGTCTCGCGTGTCTTCCTGTTACGATTTGCGAATGACCGATAGCATAGTATTCGCATTATTTTCGCTTTTGTCGAAAAAGGAATACCTACCACGCAGTTTGCAGAGGGCTGTACGTCTGACGGGATTGGTAGAATAGTGGCGCTGCATGAAGACGATATTTGACAAAAAGACAAAAAGACAACAATAATAAATACCAGTTAGTCTCGAGAACAGCCTAAAACCCGAGATGTTACATGTTACGAGATGTTGCAGGGGTCCCGAGATGTAACCGACCGACCAGCCGTCAACTACATCCTGAAAAAGACTGAATCTTTGACCTATACAGAACTGAATAAGAGCTGTGACTAATCCAGCCTCCAGGGCCACCCAAAACTACGACCGACAGACGGACATCCCGTTGTCACTGACCGTTGGTGGTACTGAGGTACTCGGCAAACTTTTTCTTCTCGTACTCGACGCTCTGGGCGATGATGTGTGGCCGCACCTGCTGGATGGCAAAGTTGGCCATGTCGATCCGCATCAGCTCCAGCGTCTGAACAAAGTGAGAATCAAAGGTCAGAGAACGGAAATCGTAACCACATGTGGAACACACCGTATTACTCACAACAATAAATTCGCGAGGCTCGAGCCAATCAATACTACCACAGTCCACAACCCTAAATCAGCCAATTCACAACCTTGCGAAGATCTAGCAAACCAACATTACAGCAATTCTAGGGCAGAAATAAGTGCTCAAGTTGTTTACGATTCTTTTCGTCCACAGTCTCTTTAATATACACGATTTAAAAGAAGAATAAGATCAATTAGCAAAGTACGGCGAATATACTGATGACGCCAGCGCAGACCGCCGCGTCGCTCAAGCGTATCGCCTCACCTCCATGATTCCTCTGAACACGTCGACTACAGTAGCGCGCTGGCCCAGCTCTCGAATAGCATCGTCCCGCACCGGCGCGCAGATCCGAGACATGATGGACAGCACGAAGCCAGAGTACTCGCTGAAATCTGGGGGATAGGAGTACAGGTTAGCGGCGCGCAGATCCGAGACATAATGGACAGCTCACGAAACCAGAGGACTCGCTCAAGTCTGCGGGTGAACGGCGGGGTAGGATTAGCGGGAGAGGGTTAAAACTGAAAACCGCCATGGGTTAAAAAGGGAGAAAAATGTCAGTTGAGGGTGTAACAACTCGAGAGGCTAAAATATTATCGAACTGAGGGCGATAAAGCAATCAAAATAAGGTAAACCGGATCTAATCCAGCTTTCAGATGAGGAAATGCCTCGGAAGGTGGCGCTGCTAACGCTCAGAGAGTAGCGGCGCCGGACCGGAACTGGACTCGCTTTCCCCTTCCACAACTAACCAAACAATCCGCAAATCTCGTCACTGTCCTTCATGAACACATCATACCGAGAAAGCCTTCAGTTGACTGTGGCGAGCCCAATCCCGAGACACACTATGTACTAATAATGCACTGACCGAGTGTGCCGGCCTCTGCCTGCTGCTTGATGACCGTCTCGTCCAGCTTGTCCTCCACCTCCTTCTTCAGTGACGTGTGCTGGGGAAGCAGCAGCGACAGCAGCGTCTGCAAGAAAACATACGGCAAACGCAGCCACGTTAGTGATTAAATCATAGCGTCGAGCGTTGATGGCACCGAAATCGAGGGTGAGTGGGACCGGCATCAGATGCATAACAGCTCACGTCATGCTGCCGCCTTATTTTGCTTTGTTTAGCGAATACAGAGGCTTGTGACTTGCCTTTATCACATTAGCATTTACCAAACGTACTATGACTACAGGTAAATGGATTACGCAGTTAACCGCGGATTACAAGACTCTTGTGACTGGACTCTTGAGCGGATTACAAGACTCCAGATTCCTGCGGCGTTATCGGTTACCATTCGTTCTCAATACAGAGGCTTGTGACTTGCCTTTATCACATTAGCATTTACCAAACGTACTATGACTACAGGTAAATGGATTACGCAGTTAACCGCGGATTACAAGACTCTTGTGACTGGACTCTTGAGCGGATTACAAGACTCCAGATTCCTGCGGCGTTATCGGTTACCATTCGTGCCGCTCGAGACGAGTGAAAACAGGGGGCACCCGGATTTGAACCGGGGACCTCTCGATCTGCAGTCGAATGCTCTACCACTGAGCTATACCCCCACTGATCTCCGTTCCTTACAAAAGCAGATCCGGCAGCTCACTCCCTGAACTGCATCGGGGCCGGCCCGACTCCCACACCATCACATTCCACACAGCCGGTTCGCCCACCTCCCCGCCTGACGCACGGTTAACACGCCTGACAAACCGGGCGGCCTTGCACGGACTGGCGCACCAAACCGGGGAGGGATGCACGGCTGCCGGGCCCGTACCGGCGACCGCGGACGGGGATGGGCTATTGCGTATTGGAACGAAAGAAAATATCTCCCTCGAAGACAGCTGGCCAGTGAACATCACACCTAGCTATAAAGGACATGGCAAATAGTGACCTAACATGGAGCCCAGTCCACATCAGCCATAGCGATGGGTGCCAGAATTAAATGGACGACGGCCGTCGGCGGTCGGGGTCCAGATCGGGAGTCCGCACTATTCAATTTCTTTGTTGTCGGCACCAGAGTTTTCTAGTCAACACCTCCCATTGAACACTGGACGGTCTGACGTGTCTGGTGTTATCCGTTTGGATTCGACAAGACGACAGTCACACTCACGACTCTGCAGTTGAAATGCAACTCATCATTGACCGGGATAGCCAGGACGGCGGTAAGCTGACCTCTGGGCTCGTTCACTAGACTTTCACTAACCTGTTTGACCTCAGCGACCGACTTGTCTGACCTTGGCGGTCAGCATGTAACTGACCTGTTTGATCTCGGCGGTTGACCTCTGACCTGACCTATCTGACCTTGGCAGCTGACCTGTTTGACCTCTGCCAGCCGACCTAGCACTAACCTGTCAGTCCTCAGTGGCTGACCTGTCTGAAAGACCTATGACTGACTCGTGTGACCTCCCTCTGCCGGCTGACTTATCACTGACCTGTTTGACCTCAGTCATCAGACTGAGCGCCTGTGAGAAGTCGGGCGGGTCAGACTCGAGCTGCTGCTTCAGGATTTCCCAGAACGCTTTGTGAGTCATCTCCTTCACTCGTCCCAACAAACTGAAAAACGAACGAACGCAGACTGAGCACCTGTTAGGCTGAATTATGTTTTATGCGCTATCCTCGACACATAAGCAATAAGCATTACTCATTTGCATCACGGTAAGAAAACAATGTAAAATTTGAAATAATGCACATGGAAAGCAAGTACAACATTGAGCACTGAGGTACGCGGCATGCGTATGATGACGATCAGTGTTTCCGGTGCCGCAGCAAATAGCATTACATTTTATTTTTAATGCGGCAAAACGCAGGTAGAAGACCACGCTTTCGCTGCTCTGCGAAACGAAATCGTTACACAATCTCGTTAATCCACGACATGTTGAGAGGCTGATACAGTCATTGCCTGTGTTTGAAAGGCTAGTCGGAAAATGTTCATCGTTCATCGCAGTCACGGTGTGCGGCATTATCGTTCCCGTCAACGGTGTAGATGGCGCTGTGCTCGACGGCACCACATTTGCTCGCCCCTTTCGACACGAGAGGTTCATCCATGACTGCAGTCTGCTGCGTTCATTTCAAAATGCTTTCATGAGGTTTTCATTACTTTCATATTAGGCAAGCTATTTGCAAATTAATCATAATTACACCATTGAAGTAGAAATCACCGATATTCATATCAACTACGATAAAACCCACGGGACAGCGCACCCGGTTCCGGGACCAGAAACTAACCTGTTATCAGGTGCCTTGTACTTCTCCAGCTTGAAATCGTGATCGACGGCGATTTCGTGCGCCAGCGCCATGTTGCTGACGCCATTGGCGGCTCGCATCACCTCCTCGAGGGAGACAAAGCGGGGCGGCGAGGCGGCCACGCCCGGCAGGAGGAACCCGGCCGGCGAGGTGGATCGCGCCCGGCCCGCGCCGCTGCCGCTGCCCTGGCTCGTAGTCCGCTGCCTGAGGGATGCGAGACACAGATGGGTTAGGAGTGGGCTTACCCAGCTGATGAGGGAAGCAAAACATGTGAGGCGCAGCAACTTTTTAGGGAATAGAACCAGGAAAAGAAAGCAACATATGCAGTTAGGGCAGCTATGATTAAAAAAGGACAACTCTGATAGTTTATTGAGTAGATTCACAGCAATTTATGAGACCACTTGAAACCTTAAAGGAAAGCTTGCTAGCTGCTGCAGTGTACATGTTGGCATGAAATATACATTACACATGAAATATTTCCAGCAAAAATAACAAACAACCTGATCAATGCCAGGAAAAACAATAAAATATATCTATTGGTTCATTGGGATATTATGTGCCTCCTTTATTTACTGTTAAACATACCTTTTTGTAGTATCTTGAGTCTGATCCATTGACTCTGATGGTGGCTTGTCTTCTCCACTGGATGCCATTGCTTGTAAACTAGGAAGAAAATGGAAATATTGATGAACTTACCGAGCATAGTCAGAACATACCTAGCATCTAGTTAAAAACACACACACACAAAGGCACACCAACATAAAAGTCTAATGGCACTTTACCTGCCCCCTGTAATAATTAGATTGATCTTAGCAAAATAAAACTTCTAGATCTAGTAGCCTTATTCCAAATTCTTCTCACATAAATTCAAGGAACCAAATAATAAGTTATTATTAAAGGGGCAGGGGAGGCACTAAGGGTGTGTTGATAGGATTGGAATCTGTCTGATTCAGCTTGTTGTACCAAATGTGTCATTTCTTAAGTTGCCAAATCAAATGTTTAATGAAGAGTTACATCACTCAATAGTAAAGGTAACATCATGAGCGATCCTTCCCCAGACTTAGACAGCAAAACATGGCAATCTCAATAAGATCATCTTGATGAGAACACATTCAGCCAGTGAGTGGTTTGTGCATGTGACATGGTAAGGATAAAAGACTGATCACAGCATCATGCAGATTTTGGGACGGGTGGAGCAGTCAGCAGTGCAGTGCCACTCCCAATATGGTACCATGATTAACTGCTGTACAGGTGCAGCATCATTGTCCAAAATGATATATGGGAGACTTGGTATTAGTATATGCCAGAGAACAATGGATCTTAACCCTGCACTGCAGTTGTTATGGTTCACGTCAAAAGTGCAATATGCATATTTTACGGTAAAATTAAAGCTTGATTGGTGTAGATTTCCAGCGAGGTTGGTGTCAGATGGTGCAGATTAATAGCCCTAAAGGCTCTTGCTGCATTTTGCAGTCTGGGTGTCCTAGTCCCTTTTCTCCACATTGATTTTCATAGAAGCAGCATTTAGAGTTAATTCCTTTCCTGGTCCACTAAAAATATTGAACACATTTTAACAATACAGAAGGTGGGAAAATTCAAAATATTACGACGAACCTTAAGAGTTTGAATCGTGACGGACAGAACTAGAACAGCTTGAGCTTCGATATCAATATCAACATCGGTCTGGATTTGGATTCAGATTATCCCACGGTGACGGCACCAACTTGAACTTAGATTATAGAAGACTGATGTATAGGGCCTTGGACTGATGGACTACCCGGACATGAATGACATGAATTACGTTAACAGCTCACCTATCGTGGTACTGCTACCGCTGAGAAGAGAACTAGAACATTTATTATCAGCAACCAACTCTCAAATTTCCGCCCAGAGAATTCGCGAAGCGTCCGCCGCCCCCACAACAAAAACCGCGGCCCCCGCCGAAGTTAGTTGGTAGCACTGCTGCTCCACGGCGTACATTTCCTACCAGCCCATAGGGTTTACATGTTAAATGGCCTGTTTTCGGCCAGCGATATCTCGGTCAACCTTTAAAGGAATCAATGGTTCTTAGTCTCAAATGATAGATCGATGAATTTTCTTTCGACAATTCCTCTACCATTTTTCACGAAACCCAGCCGATCTTCTACGGCGTACAGGGTAAAGATTTCTCTGCACGCCAGCACCCGCAATCCGCCTCTCCGATCGTCAGTTCGCGGTCCTCGGTAGCGCAGTCGGTAGCGAATCGGGCTACAGATCCGAGGGTCGTGAGTTCAAATCCTGGGAGCGCAGCGTGATTTTGGCTAGAATTAAATGATGTAGATTCTTGAATGTTTGCATAATCAATTATTAATAGCTAATTGAATGTATCTGCCCACTAATCGGCCCTTTAAACCTGTTATTTAAGAAATTTAAGAAATGATTGTCACGTGCGCGTCACGACTGCCAACCATAAGCGCTACCATATTCTAGATTGAACTAACTTTTTGCTAGTCCCGACCACATATAGTAGGTTTTCTAGTAGTTATACTAGAAATTCCTACCAAAGTTCGTCCTACCCTTCACTCAATATACCCTGCAAAAACCGCGTGCGCCACTCATCGTCAGTCTTGCGCCATTCCAGCCTCATAGTGAAATAAGTGTGTTCACGAGCAATTAAGCGCAGTTGCTAGTTCACTCAATATACCCTGGTTGCTAGCTGTTTGAAGCGCGAATCATTTTTCCTACCAGTACCGGCACCGCTCAGCCCCGTAGCCGTGTATTACCCAGTCTCTCTCCCTTCTGTCCTAAACCACCTAAATTCGACTCCGCTCCTATTATGAAATCTGGCTCCGTAGTCCGTACCTGGCAAAAATGCTAAGGGCAGTGAAAGTGGGCATCACACCATAGTATTCTAGCATAGTGGACGCCAGTTTGAGTTGATAGATCCAGAAGTTCCCGGAATCCCGAAAGCCGAATTGTTACCCCCCCCCCCCCGTCCATCCCACTAACTTTCAAGGAAAAACCCCAATTCCAGTGGAAGCACCTACATGACCGTGCAGTTTTCGCATCCAAGGAGCTAACACAGCATAGACATCCCTTGTCGATACATGCCCGCGACACGCCGCGGCATTGTATTTGTATAAGCCTTTCGCTTCGCAATCCCATCCCGCGATTAAAACGCATTATAAGAAACTGTATTTATTTAAATGAACTGATGAACAATGGCTGGTGATGCTCTTGCGACCATTGATGAAAAGTGATGCGATGATGAAACTACAAAGACAACACCCTCCCGCGCCCCTCAGCTCCTCAGACCTCGCGCAACAACCTGCAAGCAACGCGTCACTCCCTATAAAATAAATACCCCGCGGGGCGTGAGGTGAGACAGCAGGTTTCTTGTCTTAACCAGCGGCCGCACCGCGGTCGTCAACATCTTAGCGTATTTCTATCTGACGCGCCGTCAGCAGCACCGCGACGAGCACGCGGTCTCGGACCAGTCTTCTTAGAAGTCACGACAGCCGCGGTCACAACACGTCAGAACACGGGCCCGAACAGCCGCGTTTGTACATTCTCGAATCAGTCAGTCTGAGGGGCAGGGCTCACTCATCATCCTCATCTTCGTCGTCATCATCGTCGAACTCGTTGGCTGGTGCCGCCAGGGCAACGCCGTTCTTGTACGCCTCCATCTCCTGAAATCGAACAACAAGGTTACAACGAATTTCAGAGTGACAATATAAACGGAGCTAAAAAACAATACGTGACTTCGCTCAAAGGCCGAGACCCGATTATATAGACTGCGTCGTGATCGAACTTTTTGCGAAATTACATCAAACATCATTAAGGAACGAGGATCCATTGCAAGTGATGTGATGTACTGTGATGCGAGTGATGTACTGACCCTGCTGTAGCGCTCCTTGTCCTTCTCGGCCATGGCGACGTACTTCTTCTTGGCAGCCTCGTCCACCTCGCCCCACCGGCGACCCAGCTCCTTGGCGATATCGCCCACCGTGAAGCCCGGGTTGGCTTCGCGGATACCCTGACGCTCGTCGTTGCAGAACCAGAAGAACGCTGACAGCGACCGCTTCGGGGCGTTGGGGTCCTTCTTGCGGCGGCCGCTCTTGGTCTTGGCGCCCGGCGGGGGCACGTAGTGCTTCATCTCGGACTCGAAGCGGGCCTTGTCACGGTCGGCCATCTCCACGAAGCGTTTCTTCTCCTTATCGTTCATCACCTGGAGATGGGGAGCATCGTTTGAATTTTGATAACGCATGCTCGATCGATGGTATCGTCAAGAGCACGCCAGTGTCGCTTGTGCCGCTACGCTTATGTGCCCGTGGCACTGTGGCATCACAATATTTGTAAATGGTAAGAACCCGCCACTCCAAACCAGTTATGTCTCAGGGTTAGGGTTGACAGCATTATGCCACCGTACAAAAACTTATCGTCAGACCATGCTGACCCAATACCCATAGGGAGATACGCCTATACATTCACGAAATCAAGGAAACAAACAGGGTCCACCTACCTTCCACCTGTCGGAACACTTTTTCGAGAACGCAGCAAAGGCGATGGCCTCATCAGGGTGCTTCTTACGATGCTCCTCCCGGCAGGTCTGCACGAAGTACGCGTAGGACGACATGCGTCCACGCGGCTTGTCGTCTTTAACACGAGGCATCCTGGTAGTCTACGGGTCTCTCTTGAGGAAACCTGAGAAAGGGACAGTTCGTGTTACCTACCTAAATGGCTTCCGAAGTCATCGAACATGCTCTAGATTTTTTTCCCTAAATTTCAAGAAGGCGCACTAAGCCAAACGCATCCAATTATGAAATCAGACGACCTGAAAATTACGCAACGTTCCGCAATTTCATTTCTTCAAATTTTGTCTGGGGGAGGGGAGAACATGACCATTGACCAGGGCACCAGGGCCCAGTGTCCATCTTAAGCTAAACTCTCTAAAAACAGCTAAGTGCTAGTGACCACCGGCCACCGCTGAATCACAGGTGACGCCGACACGGCAAACTTGGTTTATCGAGAGGCGCTTTATTTCATCTCTGGCGTACCAGCTCAGCGGCCGCCGGCCGGCCGACTTGGAATGCGGCGACCCCCTCCCCGCCCGTCGGCCGCCGCACCGGCAGGGACCTGACAGGCGGCGCCAACCAGCCGGCCGCCGCCGCCCGCGGCTGGCTTGTGGCAGCTGGGAACCGAGGCGGTCGGCCGACCGGCCGGCCGGCTTCCCGCCATCCTCGGACCACACACGGACAAAGCGACACCGCCTCGAACGGGAAACTTTGCAACCATGCTGATGATGCTATGATCTAGGAACCTTGCGGCTTGCCGTCATTATTGTGCCCTCGAAAGAAAACCATACATTTCTGGCTATAACCATGATAGATCCGTCAACCTGGTCACAGACTTTCAGCATCATTTTCCAGCATTAAAAAAGCCTAGGCTTTTACACACCGCATACTCTTCAGAAACAGTCAATACTACAAAATGAGCAATTTTCGGAGTTTGCCGTTCACTGAAACACGCAAAATTTATCCTCAGAAATAACTACTCGTATCCAATGCGGTGAATGCATTGGCAGCGGCTCCGGCAGCCGTGATCGGCATTGGACGGGGCCCGCGGGATCGCTCAGACACTAGGCTCGGCCGACAGCGTCGTGGGAAAACTCATCTATTGGATATTTAACAAGGTTAAATATGCATAAATTAATATAAAACGAAAAGAAAAATTATCGCTTTCGCATTTGAGACACTTATCACATCCATTCAACCACCTGGCAACACGTTAACGTTCTTCAAAAACAGCCTCCCGGCACGCAATGCCTTCACTATGGCAGCCATACTAAAGCAATGGCGGCCGTCCGACAGAAAAACCTCTCGAATCAAAGGCGAAATAAAGACCCTTTCAGCTATCAACAAAACTTAACAAGGGTATAAACTGAAAGATGAGATTCTATATTTTCTTATGCTTAAAAAACCTCAACACACGACTCACAAAGTATCGACTTACCAAAGCCGAAATTCAACGCAATTTTACAACGGAGACCCTATGGAGCCTTGCACAGCCAGCGACAGAGAGAAAGCCGACGGTGCATAGCGAGGATATGGGCGAATTCTCGTCGTCTGATTGGTCAATCCTCGAACCAGCCGCCGTTCTCCACCAATCAAGACGAAGGTCTACTTCTATTACAAATATAGTGACAAGAAAAGTTAGAATTTGCGTGAGTTCCACTTACGATAAAAGATGAAGAAAGCAAAAAACAGCCCTATTGGAAATATGTAGCCTTTTTGACGTGTGATCGAATGTTTTATTGATTGGTGGTGTAAATATCTTGAAGTTTTTCCTTCATGGAAGAAAAGAAGATAATTTTATTTTAAAAATTGTCATTTTTTTCGATGAACCAATAATGAAGAACAAACATTCAGGAATAAAATATTCTTCAAGTAACACATATGCAGTAGAAATAACTTGAAATGACCTAATTTTCAATTTGGCCGTAATAAATTTGGTAGTAATTTCAGCGTTTACGATTTTACCGCACATGTTTCACTTCCTGCGCACCGGAGACACAGTGAGGTATAGACCGAAAATTCGGTGATTTCCGTAATTTCCACGGTGTTATTTGAGGTGGGTTGTTCGCCACAAATTTGTCAGGTGCATTGCTTCAGCTGCTTGAGCCTGAAGGCTATGCCAAGGCCATAGGACTCTAATCCCAACCCACCAGGCAAAAAGAATCGCCTAGGGTATTTGCGCTTAGGTAAGGTACCTATTTTATTCGGAATTATTTGCAAAACACGGCTGAGTAGGTAGGTAACGGTCAGTGGTACTGATATTACATTGAAAGAAATGATAATTGTGAAATATGGAAATTTTCCATCCCGGACTGTGAAGTATGTCAATCATGACAAGATTTTGTTGGTGCTGTGGACTCCACCTTCTGCCTTGGCGGCGGCCTGCATGCCAGACTGAAAAAATACATGTTATGTCTAATATGTCTGGCGTAGTGGCGGGATTGGGCCGAAAATTTCAGAGCACGTCAGGCCTAACTTTGCATGCGCAGAATTCAGCGCATGGCGGCTGCTTAATTTTTTGGCGCAGGGCGGCCAAGGAATTTTTTGGCGAAAGATGGTCGCTGAAGCTAGATGGCATGCCGGTCAATCTAGCAGCAGATTCGCCCTGCCCGCGGTTCTAGAGAGGTTTCGGGACGCGATGTCCCCGCCCCCTAGACTGGAAAAAATACACGTTATGCCGAATATGTCCGGCGTACCTAGTGGCGGGATTGTGCCGAAAATTTCAGCGCACGTCCGGAGTAACTTCGCATGCGCCAAATTCAGCCATGGCGGCGGACGAATTTTTCGGCGCAGGGCGGTCGCATATTTTCTTTTGGCGAAAGACGGTCACCGAATTTATGCGGCACGCTGGTCAATCTAGCAGCAGATTCGTCCCGCGGGCGGCACTGGAGAGGTTGCGGGACGAGACGTCCCCGCCCCGGTCGTCGCGTGCTCGAACTGGCGAGCCGCCCTGAGTCTACTCAGCGGAGGAACGGCCGCCCAGGTGAGGCCTCAACCTTCGGCGTAGAGATAGGCATGGAAAACCTTGTTGAACGTCGCCAGGCGTCGTTAAGCAATAGCAGTGGGTTCCTGCCCACTGCAGTATCGAGGGGAATGAGAGCGCGGACGACAAAAAGGCACCTAATTTTTGGCGCAAATCACGCATAAATTTCGGCGCAAAATCGCATGCGCCGAAGTTCGGCGCAAGCGGGTCTCACGGGCGTCCGGCGTAGTGTATGGATGTTTTCCAGTATGGCCCGCCCGGGGTGTACTGGGAGTGGGTTCCTGCCCACTGGCCAGTGGCCACTGCAGTATCCAGGGGAACGAGAGCGCAGACGATCTGGCAAAACAAGCGGCCACCCTGAACTCAAATGCCTGCTCGCTGACCAGGGCGGTTCATTGTGCGGCCTTGCATCAATGGCGCGACAACTGGTCCCAGTCACTACCTATTCAAGCCACTCCTCAGGAGCACGCCGCCGCTCCCTATCCCCAGAGAAGACTGAGGATGCCGTTTCAATGCACCAGATGAGGGCGGGCCACTAGGGCCGCTTGCTTTAGTACGTGCACCGAATCGGCTGTCTCCATTCAGCGGTGTGCCAGCAGTGCCCAGACAAGCGGTGCCCCATGGCGCTCCACGCTGTGTGCTGAGAAGAGGCTGATGTGCTGGAGCACGTGCTGCTCTGCTGCCCGGTCCCTGCTGGTTCCCGCCACCCTCGACCACACCGCTCCGCCGATCTCTGTGGACCGGGAACTTCCAGCTCCGGCTCACGGCATGACGTGACATTGCCCTCAGCGTATTGAGGTATTGGGCTTCCGTGGAAATATAAAACTTACTGGGACGCTCAAACATGGGAGAGCATCCAAAGCTCCGAAACACTCTGGTTGATATAGCCTTGATCGGTAGATGTGCACACGTGCTTTATATAAAAGTGGCTTGATTTTGGCACAAATAGGCACCCGATTTTCAGCGCAAATCATACAAAATTTCAGTGCAAAATCGCTTGCGCCGATTTTGACGCAAGAGGTTCTCACGGGCATCTGGCGTAGTGTGTGGATGTTTCCCAGTCTGGTCTGGCCTGCGCGCTGTGCTGCAAAGTGATACCCATTATACCGAGGTTCTTACAGATGTTGTGTGTCATATAATTTGCGTGGAGCAATGCGGCCAGCAGGCCCTTACAGGTACTGTTCAGCATTGCTGTGCTGGTGCAACCTTTTCTGGAAAAAAAAATATGCATGAGATGCAGACATGGTCTGCCATGAAAGAATTGACCTTTAATTGCAGTTTTGTATAAAAATCATGATTGCAGATGTGGCAACCATCTACCAAATCTTGCTTGTTGCTGAATTGTACCAAGTTCTAGCCTGGTTGATGCAGGCTGGTGCAGTCACACTAGCTGGTCCCAAGGCCCTAGTACATATATACCGCTGGTCCGTTGTGTCAACCCTGTTGGCTGTTGCTATTTTTTGCATTCTTGATTCTTGCCTGGTAGGGTTTAGTGTTCCCAGACCAGGACTGTAGAGTCGATGGATTTTAGGGTGACTCCGACTCCGACTCTGGCTTTAAAAATCGACTCCGACTCCGGACGGTTCTATTAAAATCCATATCATGATTGTGAAGTTCATATTGCAGATGTTTTATCTTGCCTGAAACGATCACTTGTGCATTCCAAGGCTTTGCGTGGCAAATATGCATTAAAAATAACATGCAGAATTTAAAAGCAGGGTCTGGGGAATTCACTGTCTTCTGCTTCTTTCGCAAAAAAAAAGACTTTTCCTGCAAAATATAATTTCGAGCGCAGTATCGTCAATCAAACCTGGTGCAGTGCATGACTTTGAGCCATACAGCGTTAACTCTGACTCCGGAGTCGGAGTCAGTAAGATTTTGAATACTCCGACTCCGACTCCGGGCAGAACTGTCGACTCCGACTCCGACTTTGCAGCCCTGTCCCAGACTGCAAAATATGACAGGTTTCGATGAGATATCGGGTGTTCACACTGCACATAGCCTCCGCTAGGCTTCCTCAAGAGTGCATTACAAATCTCAGGCGTTCAAGGCATGTTCCAGGCGCGCACTCGCAGACGTGCATTAACGAATCAGAGCGTATATGCCTGGTCCTGGAGAGATCTCAATTCTCACTCGAAGCTTGCTAACGAAACAAACGTGAAATGCGCGGACAGATGTTTGCGGAAGTGTTTACCAAGCCTTTCAGCCTGCTGTCTGAGGGATAGGGAGAGGAAAGGGAACCCATTATCAGGGATCTAATGATGTTTTGAATGATGGTTTTAGGAATTTGACTTGTGTTGCCATCGATCGTGAATAAAACTCAATCATGTCTGATCATTTACAAACATCTAATGATGTGTTGATCTCATATCTAACTCATTGCAGTATTACTGGAATTAGGCATGATTCTCATCTGCAATGCCTACGCCTAGCCTAGTGGCCTAGTGATAGTGGTTGTTTAAAAGAATAGGTACTCTGCTGCTAAGTGCTTACTGCTTAGTGCTTACTCATTGCTAACCTGTCTGGTTTTCCTTTCAACAGGTTCACTATTAAGGGTTATATGAGAAAAGGACGGCCCTAGAAGTAGACACCATGTCAGTGCTAGAACTAAAGGTAAGATGATCAGTGACAATTGGGAGACTTTTTGGATGGTGCAAAATTAGTGAGTTTGAAGAACCACTGTCTCTGGTTTCTGTAGTAAAATGTGTCGAGCCTTATGGTAAAACCTATTTTGTTTTGCTGAAAAGTTTTGTATTGAGAATATACATTGACATTTTCCTTTTTTAGTCCCAGCAACTTGTGTTGCTTGTCTCACTCAGTTATTTTTAGCTTAGAAACTCAGTGTTCTGTCTGTAAGTGATACTGTTCATGCCCTGATATATAGATTTGTGTCTTTAGTAATGCTAAACACTGAGTCTAGATGCACTGGGTCTATCAATGCACAGCAAGTATCACAGACCCCAAACCTTTTTTCAGGATGACAAGTCATTGAATACTGAAGCTACTGTAACAGCTCAGGAGTTTGTAAAGAAGTTCTATGAAGTTCTTGACAAGCGACGACATGTAAGTTTTTTCATTGTGTCCTGATCTAAAGTTAATCGGTTTGCAATAGAATTTTTGTGTGATTCTATAAATTTATCTGTGAAATCGTTTTAAATGTCATGAACGTCTATGCTCTATCCGTTGTGCAGTGTGCAGTCCAAACACCCTAAAACCAAAATCATCCCTTGCAACGAAAACTGATCACTGACACACTGACCAGCTGCTGGATACACCATGCTCCCCAATTCTACCATCTACTCCTGACTGCGTCTCGCCAGACACTCTCCAAGTTATACCTGGACACGGGTACGCTGGTGTGGAACGGTAACAGCGTGACCGGGGCGGACGCCATACAGGCCTTTCTGGAGACGCTGCCCACCTCCGAACACACGGTCATCTGTGTGGACGCCCAGGCTGTGTCAAGTGAGTGTGACGGTGGACAGGGGAATATAGTGGCAGAGGAGTGGCCGCAGTTTATGGAGCAATTAAAGGAATGGCGATGGAGATGTGGTTGGTTAGAGGCTATTGCGTTGAGGTGATGAATTGTCGGATTGGCATTTATGTGCGTGAGGTGTATTGTTCACATGTTTTAGCCGCTATTTTTATGGCGTAGGGTAAGGTGCCTGATTAGCGACCCACTTAATTTGAACCGTCATTGCTCACGCTCTGTGGTGCCACTGTGTTACTGGCTTGATTTTCGGAGAGATCGTTCATTTTTCTATAGAAATATAGTCATTTTCTGCCCCAATATTCACTGACTTATTTGTAGTGAGCATTTTGGCAAACCATTGCAAAAAACGCTAATAGGGAACTCTTCCCGATTAGCGACCGGGGAGGGTCGCTAATAAGTCTATGGGTTTCCCCATATTAAAAATGGCAAAACATGCGACGCCTGAAAAGATGAAATATGATCTCAAAATGGTAACCTATACGCAAAGCACTCAATCGCTCGAACAGGAACGTTTATTCAACACATTTACGTAAGTAAAAACTGATCACGTGATGCACCGAAGGCGAAAAGAAGGCGGAAACTCTAATTTTGCGAGCTATCTTGTATGATTTTCGAGGTCCGCGCTGAATTCGGTACCCCTGCAGTCGGTGACGACATTTAGCATCCCCTGCCACACATTGCAAGCTTCAGCAACACCTCATTCTCATTTCTCTCTTTTCCCCTTTCTTTCCCTTCTTTAGCTATTTGCGACCATGTCAGGCGCAAATAGGAAATATGAGTTGCGACACATTTTTAACCGCCATGCTGTGCACAGTTGAGCGATTCACTATGGGAAAACGGCAATCAATTAAAAAAGGAATGTCAATTCAGAATAAAAAAGGTGCATCATCCTAATGCGCATCGCTTTTCATCAGAGAGGGCCCAAACACACACATTTTGGATAAGAAATTCGTCATTTTTATTTAAACTCACCTGAAACGTCCCACCAGAAACATCGACAACCGGAAAATAATTTAATTTGATAACCAAAGTATGGCTGACCTTTTGACGATGTTTTTACCCCGTTTTCTCCTGCCAGTTTTTCTGTAGGGAGGTAGGTGGCAAATCGGAAAGGGTCGCTAATTAGGCACCTTAGCCTAATTTGGTAGCATTTCCAGCAAATCGTCAGCCTTTCTCTCTGACGATTGTTGTACGATGACTTTTCTATCATTAGTCCGTCTGTCTGCTCAGCCACCAATGGTACGGCAACTGTTCCTCGTCCGTCAGTCTGACTCACGCGTCAGTGTTTCTGCCGTATATGGTTGGTGTTTGTTCTCTCGTCACTAAGCCTGACTCACTATCTTTCCCGGCCGGCCAGGCGCGGCGGTGGACGCCCAGACCACGGTGCTGATCGTCGTCTCGGGCCAGGTGCGGCTGAAGAACACCACACGCAGCTTCCAGCAGCACTTCATGCTGACCGCGCAGGAGCGCAAGTGGAAGGTGGTCACCGACTGCTTCCGCTTCCAGGAGCTGGTCAGCTGAGCGGCATCGCTGGATCATTTTTCATGCGTGACCCCTCGTGGAAAACGAGGAACGGAAAACGTTTGCATAGTGATTGGGACCAAAGCACCGTTGTCTGAGATGAAGATGACGCGACCTTCTCACGGGTGAACCCTTTCGTCAATGCGGTGCCTTCAAGGTTCTGTGAAGAATGCTTGTCGCCCGTAGATTGGGCTCACCCTGGCCGACACTTGTCGAGAATCTTGGTCCCACCTTCCACTGTCTGCAGTGCTGCCGTCTGGTCGGCGTTCCCGCACCACAGAGCCATCTGACGGAAGGAAGGGACAAATACTACCCCAGGGAGGCGCGAGTATCGACCGGATCTCAACGACGATATTGACGGTAGCCTTGTTCGTCATTTGATCTGGTTCATCTGCGCTGGTACCGTCATGAGAATTGAACACTCTGTGTCTTATGAACAAGGTTCTGCTGCGACTTATGCCATTTTCGGCCGCTGTCATGTGTGCTGATAGGCGTACGGCTGTCTTATTAACCGTTGTGATGCATGAACCGCTCACTGTGTTCTGTGAGCTGTGATGTCACGAGTTAAGCTCCTCGTTGCTGAGCGGTTTCAGTGTCTGCTTGTCATACATCCATCGCTTCAGCGCTGGCATTTGTGAACCGTCTGAGTATGTTCGGTGATGAAAACGGTACGTGAACTCATAACAGAACGGGATGTGGAAGATGCATCGGCCGCGCTCACGGCTGCAAGCGCACAATGCGACTGGTGGGGCGATTTACATGGTCCTCCGTGTCCTTGCTGAGTCACGCAACGTTATTTCAGGCCTAAATCCGTTAACCGGAAACGACAGAAAATAAACATTTGAGTACAGTGCCAGTGATCGCATTGTGAAGTGTATCGTACATTCATGGTTTTGACCAAAAAGGTCGCTTCCGTTTTTCTCCGTCGCGAAATAGATTTCGACGGCTTTGTATTATACTATTTTTTTATATATTAGATGGACGTGGATTGTAACAAACTTTTAATCCGGCTATTTTGAAAACGGGCATAATTACATGCACTAGATAAGTGTCGTAGGTAACGGTAACCGTAAATAGGTAAACGATTACCTACGACACCTATTATAACGGGCATCGCACCATCATCCCGAGATTTCTCTCACTCACCGTAGATATACCATAATCGAGCGGAAGTGAGCTCGAAGCGTGCGTTTACAGCACAGGCAGTCCCGTCTACCAATTCGGCTGCATTGATCGACGAAGTAGCCAGGCATCGGCACCAAACATGTGACACAGCTGAGGCGGAAATTGCAAACCGTTTATGCTCAGAATCTCTGGCCTTTAACATCAAACGCTGTGGCATCGGCCGGTTTGATGGCCGGGCATGGTTGGCTTCATCCGTCGCCGATGCAGGGCACTTCCGGGTCGACCGGTCCCGTCCGCCAGCCAGCGTCAGACCTAGAGCGTGCCTTGCGGTGCAGCCTACTTTCAGGCGTCTACCGTTGTGCCATCTATCGGCCACGTTATAAGCTCATGGCCGGTGTGCGGCATCGTCTGTGCACTGCAAATGCGTTGAACCCCGCCGGCCGCCCATCTGTCTCGTCAGGCTTAGCGCGTGCCCTGCGGTACACTCTACTTTCAGGCGTCTACCGTGGTGCCATCTATCGGCTGCGCTGTTAACTTAGGGTCAGCAGCGTCAGGCTCAGCGCGTGCTTTGCGGTACAGCCTAACTTCAGGCGTCTAGCGTGCTGCCATCTATCGGCAACGCTATAAGCTCACGTCGGGCTGGCGCTGCCGCGTAACGAATAACGATCGTTGCGTAAAAGGTACTTGCAATTAAGCATCTTCCCAAGTAAAACTACAATACCTATATGAGCATTTAGGCATTAACATACCAACATTTATCTAGATGCATGGACATAACTATATTTGACACGAATAATGGAAACAGTGAAATAGGTGAGAAATAGATGAAATAGTTGAAATAGGTGAGCAAGTGAGAATAGGTGTTATTTTATATAGGCCGGGTGCCTGGTAGAGTCCAAGCCCCACCAATTAGAGCATCGACCTTTTCACATTAACCCTCGCCCATGTAGGGGGGGGGGGGGGTTGGTGCACCCCCCCCCCCCCCTGAGGTTTTTCTTGGCTACACGCCGAACCGTTTCAGATAGCCTGCTCAAATTTTCAGTACCCTTTGGGGCATCCTTTGCGCAACTTTTGGTGATTTTTTGTCAAGGTCATGTCAGGTCACGGAGTTATGACGTCATAAAGGGAACAACCTTCGGCCAGATTTACGCTAAATTGGAGATTGCTTCACATTGGTATAAATGCCGACTGACCTGACGCACTGATGGATTGTTTTAGAATCACAACTGGCTGATTTGACATTGGCACAATGTCCGTTGACATTTTGAAGGTCACTAAAGGTCAAGGTAAGGTCAGTGACCTCGGTTGACCTGTGATGACTTCTTGCACTTGTATGCCTTTTCGGGGTATTTTGATGCCCTGAATTCGAATTTGCTATCCATTTCAAGCATCGTCGGTTGTTTCTTGTAGTTCATTTTGGGTCAGGGTCAGGTCAGTGACGTCACACGCCTGACGTGACCCAATGCACAAATGACCTTGCAGACTTCCGATGCTCCCAACGCATCATTTTTAGAGTTATGACATCGAAATACACACCAAACGATAGAGAATTGATCAAGGATCACGATAGTGAAGGTTTCAAGTCGATATCTCTTACCGTTTTGCCGCAATCGGCGCGGAAGTCTGAAAAGTTAGATTTTTTCCGAAAATTTGACCTTTGACCGGTCATAAGTAGGTCAAATGTTGACCTAGGACCAGAAAATATACCACCAATCGCGAGATCTCGTTGAGAGCAATCCGTTGGTCTTTTCCGCTAAGCTCTACGACGCTTCGTTTTCAAACGCCAGGAGGGGGGTCGCACCAACCCCCCCGCCCCTGCATGGGCGAAGGTGGCAAAACACCGTTTACGGGCGAGGATTAACTTTTTGACATTGTATGACAAAAATCGTTTTTATATCCTAAAACGAGCCATTAGAACCCTACCAATAATTTTTCAGACAGTGACGCCGTTTGCGAGGAGCACCTACCTATTTATACACATTACACTCACATACATATACCTGTCACTTCGCTCCACTTGTGAATAATGCAGCACTCACGTTCAGGTCCTAACGGATAAATGTTGACATTCGGAACGAGAGAGAAGTGGAATAACACCTTAGCATTGTTTCTTGCCGCCTCTTGCACTAACGCGTAGACATTATACCGTTATGGGCAGTAAAAAGGAAGGAAAACGTACGTAATAAACCCAGCAGTAAATAGTTTTATAGCACCAAAGTTTTTTATTGTTGATGCGCCTACACATATGAGTAGGAACCATAGGTACTTTTACTACATAGTAGTGCCTCGCATCATTTTATATGCCGTCCGTCTGGAAAACCAAAAAGGAGTGGGTATAGCCACCTGGATCACCCACGCATTAACAGGGGCTTCGCCACCGGGGAGGAGGGGGGGGGGGGGGGAGATCGTGGGGATCCTGAATTCCCCCTGCAATAATTTTACTCCCGTAATGCAGCCTATCTTATAACTTTAAAGGTGTGCATTTTTTTGGGCCGGACCACAGCAATCCTGAGACTATGGCGGAGCCCCTGGGCATTACTAGAGGCAGTGTCTTCTTTCTTCCCTTCCGGTTGTGGTGGCGGGGGGGGGGGGAGGGTACTGCGATCCAGCCGCTGAATGATGGGCAAGTTCCGGAGGTGGGGTATTAGCCGGCCCAGCGCGTCAGGCCGGCAGCCAGTCCGGGCCTGTCCCGGAGCCAGCCGTGAACACCCATCTCCACCCGAGTCATGTCCAAGCCGGACGGCTGCGACCGGGGCCGACCCCTCACCTACCTGTGGCAGCGCTCGACACGCCGCTCGGTCGGCTCAGCAGGGCTCCAGGTGGGGCGACGGTACCGCGCCGCGGATCAGCGCGGCTGTCGCCAGAGACGTGAGGCGGCACTCGATGACCAGAGGCGGCCGGTGACCGGGACAGATTCGGTCGGCCGCCGAGCCCGGTAAGCCAGCCGGTGACATGGGGTGGTACTTACAAACGGTACGCGCTGACCGGGCACGCACACGCACAGGTGTAGGAGAGTGCGTGCGGGTGCGTCGGAGCTTGCGTGACGAGGATCCTCAATAGTCCAGCGACGAGGTTACGGCTCCGATTAACCCGCGCCTCACTGGGGGGGGGGGGGGGGGGGTATTCATAGCCCCCTCTCGTTTTTCTGCAATAACTTCTAAACCGCTGAGTATATCAACGCGAAACTTTGAATACTTTCGTCTGCATTAATTTGACACCTTGTGTCAAAATATGAACCAGAGTATATAATATGAACTTCGTAGCTACCATAGGTTGGCCGGAAATGACGTCAGAGTGACGTCATGTTCGGCCGATTTCGACGCAAAACATTGAACTACGGCAATTGCTCTCAAGAGCTCAGCTTTTGAGCTAGATCCCATTTCTTTGCATGAGAGGACTCAGAATGCATTGTTCTATCAAAATTTTATCTCAAATTTTCAACATTTTAAAAATGTTGGAAATTATATATATTAAATTTCAAAATTTATATTCTCATCTTTTTTCCATTAGTTTTTGACTTTTCGAAAAAAAAACTGGAATATGTGTAATAGAACACATGCCCGTGATGCACTTAAGCAGGTTTTAGCCGAATATCTTCAAAAATAGCCAAGTAGATACGTATTATAGGGAAAAATGTAACTGTTATAAATTTTTCAAATCAATTCTCAGCACGTATTTGACATCGTACACCAGTATAAATAGCACCATCGTGTTCTTGGGCTCAAACGGCATCGAATAGGCACCTTTTGTGTAGAAAAAAATTTGTTTTTGAAATTTGACTTTTTTTAACTTTTATGCCTGCCATCAGCTAAATTCCACTCAAAATGACCTCGAATGACATAGACGACACCGAATTCGAAATCTATGGCCTAAATGGATCATAGAACATGTGTCACGTGACCGATTCATGATATAAGCTCTCCGTGACCTGTGATGACCTGAACCTGACTTGAAAATCAAAGTACAAGTTTGGTAACCTCAGGGTATCTAAAACATCTATTCACAAAAGCGTAACCAGAAATGAGCCTTATCTGACTTGTAAGCCGGCTGTTAGAGCCCAAAATGTGAACAAACCAAACATCGATATTTTTTACTTTGAGCTGACCGGTGAAGTCATCAGTGACCGCGAGGTCAATAAAATTAGGTTTCGCTCGACAGTTTTTCCAGACGCGGTTTGAATTTTGACCATGGGCCCATGGTAGTTTCGGAGTAAGGAGCCCCCCCCCCCCCCCCAAGGCGGGCGTGTTATACGCAGACCCCAGTGGGGCGCAGGTTAAGCTTTTAAAACATTACATCCCACCAAACCAATTTGTCAGTCATCACACAAGGGTCCCTTCAACCTGGCACATTTCACAGCATTTTAGCACAAAGCGTAAGTAAAAGAAGTTTCGGTTTTGTAGATGAAGAGTTTTGAAATGAGGGCGAAACATACCCTCTATTTAATAAGCATATCTTTTTACATGGACCGCAGAGTCGGACTGTGGTCTACGGAGTCGAAGTTGGAGTCATTTGGAGTTGACAGTTCTGGCCCCCGTCGCAGAGAAGAAATTGTTTGGGTTGAATTGCATGCTCTTATGTTAGTTAGGTATTATACGCTTGATTGTCCCCAGTCGTGCTTAGTGATAGCCGGTAAGCTATTCCCATATGAGTAAATAAGCATGGTCCCTCACAGAATATCAGGCTAATTTTTCGTCTTTGTCAAATGCTGTCGCGACACACCATTCCCTATGTACTTAATCTTTGACTTGTTGTCGAAGACCTGGGACAGAATGCCAGCCTGCAGAGCTGCATCTCAATGTGCAATATAATCCTTGAACTGTTGTGGA